AGCTCCAGATGGCTTAAAATACTTTTTTTTTTTTTAGATGTACACTCTTACCCAGTTGACTTTTCCCCAAGGCATTATAAAACAATCATTTTTTCTTTTTTGATTAATTTATTTTTTACATTCCAATCCCAGTTCCCCCGCCCTCCTCTCCTTCCTCTCCCTCCACTCCCTGCTCTTCCCATCTGTTCCATGGAGAGGGTAAGTCCTCCCCCAGGAAGTCTACTAACTTTGTCCCATCATTGGGACAAGGCCAAGGCACCTCTCTTCCCCCACACCTTGTGTCTAGACTGGGCAAGGTATCTTTCCATATAGAGTGGGCTCCACTAAGTCAGTTTGTGCATTAGTGTTAGATCTTGGACCCACTGCCATTGGTCTCATATATTGTCCCAGTCATACCATTGTCACCTCTATTAAGGGAGTCTAGTTCAGTCAAAAGGTTCCCCATTTGTCAGACCTGAGTCAGTAATCACTCACTAGCTCGGGTAAAACAATCATTTTATGTCATTTAAATGAAAATAAAGTCCAACTATTTTTATTTAGTTGTAAAGAAGGTCTCTTTAGATGACAATATTTCTTCCAGAGACTAACTTTTCCAAAAATCCAAATGCAATTGTCAGAATGAGGAAAACAACTTCACTGCTTCTTAACAAGTTTTTAGGCTGAAGTCTAAATAAAAGCTTGGAGTTGTTAACCAACAGTAATGTAAGTTAGTGGAGAAATCAGCTCCCAAAGTTATGCTTCTTATGTATCTTAAGGATCTCATCAGAACAGACTACAAGGAGATTCACTGGCTCTGAAGAGTTATTTTTCTCTGGTTTTGTGCTACCCTTAAATGATACCATTAGTTCTCTTCATTTCATTCCATACCTAACAGAAAGTAACCTCCTATGACATTCAATTAGCTTCACTAACAATGTTCTAAAGTCTTCTATCTTATTCGTAACAAAAAGTAGAGAATGGGTACTTTTGGAAAGAGTGGCATACTTAAAATATAATGGGATTTGTCTTTAAAAAATTAAAAGATATGTCTAATTCTCATGCCCATTATACTTCATAGCCCTTCCAGCACCTGGGGCATCTTACTCTTCCTGCATAAAGCAAGGGATGTCATGCCAGAAACACTAAGGAAAATAGTCAACCTGTGATTTAGTGTTGCAGACCATAAATAATATGTAAATAAGAAAATTAATTAATGTAAAAGTTCAAAATCCTCCCATGTTCTTGAGATGGAGGAGGGGCAGATGGGACACTGGGGAGAGTGAGAGGAGAGGAGGGTGGGGAAACTGTAGTCAGTATGCAAAACCAATGAAAACATATCTTATTTAAATAAAATAAATATATATTAGATAGTGGAAAAATTCCAAATCCTGCAGAATAATGACTGGAAATCTATAGCTGTAAAGCAAGTGCGTATGACACAATAAAAGCTATGCAAGGATGTGTATGTGATTCCCAGGATCTGTAAATGTATTACCTTTTATGGCAAAGACTGATCTTGGGATGGGAAGATTATCCTGATGGGCACACAAAACCTTTGCGACTAAGGAGAGACAGGTGGATCAGAGCCAGAAGGGGAGGTTTTAAGACACGAATTGAGGATCCGAGCCAGAGATTTGAAGATGCTGTGATTCTGGCTTTGAACCTGGAAGAGCATTTTAGAAGGCTGGAAGTTTAACTGGCCTCCGGAAGGTGAAAAGGACAAAGAAACACATCATCCGCTCAAATCACCAGAAGGAATGAAACTCTACTCATCCATTTTGGACTCCGTACCCCCAGATAATAAACTTAAGTCATTTTAATCCACTAAATTTATTGTCAGTGCAATCGAGAACTAACACAGAGTTTGACAAGGAATGCAGAGATACTGCTGTACCAAATAAATACGCAGGAGGAGCTTTGAAATTGAAGAATAGGTACAGGCTGGGCGAATGCCAGGAATGGGAGAAGCCCCAAAAATGTGAGTTTTCTTTGAACACAGAGTGACTTGGTTAGAGGCCTGGCAGGGAAAGAGTCAGAATGAAGTGAAGGGCATGAAAGAGAAACCCTCCATCATCCTATATGTGTAGGCTGTCCCTCTGTAGACAGAAATGTGAACACTCCTGGCAAGACTGAGAAAGAAACAAAGAGCATTGCTCAGGAGGGGGTGGGTTGGGACCTTTACTGTACAGGGTAGAAATGTCACATGACTTATTTCCTGCAGGTATGTAGAAAGTAAACGATTAGTGGATGTGTCCAGGTTCTTCTTTCCACAACCAATCAAACATGAGAAGCAAGAGGCAGACTGAGGGAGGAACTCCTCAGGAAAATGGAAGCTAAACTTGAGAATGCCGGAACTCCTTGGCCTATTCAGATGGCAAAAGTTGCAACGAACGGGTTGTTTAAAAATTATCTTAAGAGAAACTAAGGGTTTCTTTCTTGATTCTTTTGTTATTAACAACTAAGCTGTTTGCAAGGCCTCATAGCTCAAGCCTATAATCACAGCTACTTGGAAGGAGGGCTGAGGTAGAGGATCGGAATTTCGAGACACACCTGGGCAAGTTCAGATAGCTGATCTGGTTCTCAAAATAAAAAGAAAGAGTGCTGAGGCTACAGTTCAGCAAATTTGATGCCTTGATTCAATCATGAAAAGTAAGAAAGGAAGTTATTTCATTTAATGTGGTTTTATGGTTCTAAACTTATCTTTTTGATCCCTAGTTTTGCTCCATTGTGGGGAAATAATATGAATTCAATAACATTGATGGTTTCCTACGTTTTAAATGGGAATAACCACAGTTACTAACCAATGCTGGTTTCTTATCTCAGTATGGTACCTTTGGGGCAAATAACTTCTTTTCTCATTTTAGAGATGGAGACATAAATTCCCTTTAGTATAGATTGAAAATGGAGCCCCATCCATGTCTGATTTACATGTTTTAGATGGTAAGGTTTGATTCTTTAAACTGATGAAGTATAGATGAGATTTTTTTAATTCAGTATTGAAACATCTTTAAACTATAGGAGACTGACACTTTTGGAGACCTTGGGATGAATAAATGTATTTTTCATGTGACCTCTGAGAAGCAGAGAGCTGATAGAGATATATGGAGCAGTAAGCTCACTGAGATGTTCATAACCATCAAGAGGAAAGTGTCATTTGGAAAACTCCTTGGAGCCTAATGCCATTTACCAGCTGCAGGGAAAATAGAAATCCAATGGAGGAAATATCTAATGCTAAGATCACATTGCCAACAGAGAATGAATAAAAGCTGGATGAAATGTAATATTCATGTGTTTGAAAACCACCGCCAAGAGTGTAACCATGTGTACATAGTAGAGGAACTGTTAATTCAGAAAGGTGAGCAGGCTCAGAAGGGTCCAAGGGAGCGAGATGCTAATTACAGCCCAGTTTGTGTCCCAACACTTCAGTTTAAGGAGAAATTCAGGTGCAAATTCCTGGCATGTTTATGATGCAGTCCATATCAGGGAGCTCATGTGGCCTCCCCTCAGAGAGCTTTCCCCTCAGGAGTACTTTCCAGAGTTGAGGCACACAGGATGGAAAGATAAAGAAAGGACTAACATAAAACATCTGATAAAGCTGAAATTTCAATGCTTTTTTTCCCCTTATTTCTCCCCCTCATTCTGAGTAGACAAACATTCTGGAGGGAGGGATGCCTGTGAACAAAGCAAAATTAACCAGGAAGTCCTGGGGAAACAGAGCTGACAGCTACCGCCCTTTGTGCTGTGGTTACTGGAGGATTCTAAATGCAGCCTGAGCTGGGAATCGGGTGTTTTCCTCTGGGGCCCTTAGAAACTAGCAGATGTTTATGAATCATTTGGAATGAGTTTTTTTTAAAGGGCAATTCTAATGTCTCAAAATGTGATCTGTATTCCCTAAAAGGCACACAGTGCATTTTGAACCCAGATAATCTAAAAGGACACCTGATAGCTAAACTCTGTACTGAAGAGATGTCAATGCCTTACACTGTCTTGGTTGGGGGTGGAATGGGATGGGGGACATGATGTAATCCATGTTATAAAGGAAAGATTCCCTACTGGTGGCCACATCAACCCCCCCAATCTGCCCAGTGGACGGGTACAATCCCCCTTACAGCAAACATTATTAGCTGCAGTTACTTCATATGCAATGTAGTCAACCAAAAAAAAATCATAATTATGCCAAAAATTTCCAGGGCTAAACATTAAAAAAATTATCAAACCGTATGAACAAAGAAAAGTATAAAATTATTATTAAATGGTTTCCAAATAAGTTCAGAGAATGGAAGGAATAAAAGCAAGTAGTTAAATAGATACAAACTAACTTGACATATTGATTCTATTTCCAGTTTTAAAAAATTAAAACAAATGAAAAATGTTTTCCACCAAACCCAAATTAATGGTTTTTGTGGTTGTTGACAGCCCAGACTAGCCTCAATCTCTCTATGCACCCAAGGATAAACTTAAACTTCTGATCTTCCAACCTTGATGTCCCTATTGCTGGGATTACAGGTGGCCATCACCATGCCTGCTTTAATCAGTGCTGGGCCCCATCTGTCCAGGCACTGCAGCAGTTAACTGAGCTATGTCCTCAATCCCTAAATGATGAATTTTAAAGAAAAGTTAACACAGGATTGTAAGAAAGAATCACAAAAAGAGGGAGAATAAACACGTGGACTAAAACAAACAGATTTGATTTTTAAAGTAGAGAACAATGATGTCCAAAGTACTTGAATATGGTGTGTATGTGTGTGTGATACATGAACTGGCATAAAAGGAGCTAATGTGTGTGACGGTTACTATTAGTTGTCAATGAGAGAATTTAGTATCACCTGGGGTCTCTGGGCAAATCTTTGAGAGACTTGATTACATTAATCGATGCTAATTGTAGATTAGTACAATCCCAAGCAGAGAATCCTATAACTAGATAAACTAGAGAAAAGGAATGGACTAGCAGCTTACATCCATCCCTCTCTGTTCTATGACACTGGATGCAATGTGAGCAGCTGCTTCAAGTCATGACTTACCTTCCATGCTGGACTGTGTCTTGAACTGTGAGCTACAATCAAATCCTTCTTCCTTAATTTGACATTGTCACAGTACTTCATCAACCTGACAAGAAATTAATGAAAAAAAAAAAAAAACACGTTTTAGGGTTCTAACATTTTATTAATAGAAATGTGATCATTTAATATAAAACATTATAAAAAGTAGTAAAAGGATACCCCAGGCTTTGGTGGTGCACACCTTTAATCCCAGCATTCAGGAGGCAGAGGCAGGCGGATCTCTGTGAGTTCGAAGCCAGCCTGGTCTCCAGAGCGAGTGCCAGGACAGGCTCCAAAGCCACACAGAGAAACCCTGTCTCGAAAAACCAAAAAATAAATAAATAAATAAAAATAAAAAATAGAAAAGGAGTAAAAGGATGCCACTAATAAATTAACAGCATATTGCCAATCCAAAAAAAAAAGTAAGTAGCAAGAAAAGAAAACAAATTGTGGCTCAAATGTGAAACCATGTCTCCCATAGGCTCATATGTTTGAGCATTTGTTTCCCAGCTGCGGTTTCTGTTTGGGAAAGCTGTGAAATCTTCATGAGGTCGAGCATCACTCACGGGTAGGAGAAATGATTAACTGGAGGCAGGCATGGAGGCTGTGGAGCCCAAGCCCACTTCCACTTCACTCTGTTTCTCCGCTGGAGCTGCAACGTGACCGCTGCCTCCTGCTGCCTTGCCTTCCACACCACGATGGATTCCATCTCCTCAATGTGAACTTTGATGCAAATGTTTTACCTTGGTTTTAATTTCTTGTCTGGCTGAACCTTAACTTCATGGCAATTGTTTTCATGCAATTTTCTTAATGAATCATTTCTTAAACTAAGAAAAACTGAAATAAAAAAGATTTATTTTATTCATCTGAGGGTGTGTGTGTGAGTGTGTGTGCGCGCGAAGAGGCCATTGCATTCCTCAAAGCCATAGTTACAAGGGTTTACAGGATGGTCATGGGTCCTGGGACCCTAAATCTATACTCTTGATTATGCAACAAACACTCAACCACTGAGTCTCCTCTCCAGCCTTCATATGATTTTGTCCTAATTTACATTCCTTGAATACTGCTGCTGGTAGTGACAGATTTAGCTTCCATGTAATTAATTAATATTAGCAATGGCAGATTCTTTACAAATTTAAAACATTTATATTATGTATAAAAGACTTTTAAGAAACACTAATAAAGAGCAGGACTGGAGAGATGGCATGGAGGTTAAGAAACACTAATATAGGACTGGAGAGCATTAACTGTTCTTGCAGAGGACCCAAGTTTGATTGGTCCACGCCGCCTACTTGGAGTGGGTCACAATGCCCTGTATCTCCAGCACTGGGGAGTCTGATACTTCTGGCCTCTGCAGGCACCTGTATTCATGTGCACATAACAGCCCAGAGATACACATCATAAAAAATAAAATAAATCTTTCTAAAAAACTAAATACTAATAAAATTACCATTATTTACATGAATATATTAAAACAAACCTTTACCTAGAGTTGGAACTTAATTATAAAGATGATCAACTACACTAAAAAGTGTTGCAATGCCCCAAAGGTTTTACTGTAAAGAAAATGTGTTGCTTTAGGGTCTAATATCAATTAAACACTCCTCCAAAGAACATAACACCAAATCCAAAGATAAGAGTGGGAATCAATGTATAAATAGGTCAAAGCCATTTTCAGAATTTTCTTTCACAAAATTAATAATATTAACCATGAAAAACAGAAAAGTAATACACACGATAGGGGCTTACAATGCAGAAATTAAAAGTGGTTAGAAAACATTGTAAGCAGCTTTATGCCAATGTAAAAATTTATACTATGGACAAATTATTTTAAAATACAAATTTCCAAAGTGAGTAAAAATAAAGTAGCTGATTAGCCCAACACTCAGTAAAGAAATAGAGCCTATAATTAAAGTGCCTGGGACCCAAGTGCTATCACTTACAAGTTTGAACATAATTCTCTCTCATGTAAAGGAAAAAACAGAACTCATTGATGGCCTTTCAGAATGCTCCTAGAACAGAAATAATACAAACATTCTCCATCATTTTTATGAACCTTATCTTAATACTGATACCAAAACACAGTGAGAAATTCAATATAAAAGTTTCATACCCATCTCTTGTGTAAACATCATCAGTGAAATGCTAAACAGAATATTATCAAGTCAAAATCTGTGTTACATACACAAACACACACACACACACACACACACACACACACACACACAAAATCAGTACTGATATCTCCACCTAGACATCTCATATTGTCCCTTCCACATCCACCAGCATGGCCTCTCCATTCTGCCTTCCTATGGTTTGAGTCAATGGGAACCACCAGGAAAAGATGGAGAGAAAAGTGGTATATAAACAATTTATCCCCCAATTTCTATCTTGAAGATTCATCTTAGGTTGTCTTCATTCTTTGAATGATCAAGACTCTATAGTAAGCTCTCATTTCAAGCTTTTTCTTTCTGGTTCTGGCAGCCATTATTTCTCTCAAGATTAACATATAAAAGAAAGAAATTGGCAGAGCAAAGGCTGGAAATTCTCCCCTACCTGGGATACATGCAACAAAGAAAATTCTTAAGAAAAAGCCTACAGCATAAAACCTTGGAAGAGAGAGTGCTATGGAAATTACAAAAGGTCATGAGTCTCTCGGAAACCTGGCACTAGGGAAATTCCCAGGAATCCACAAAGACAACCCCAACTAAGAATCTAAGCAATAGTGGAGAGGCTACCTCAAATGCCCTTCCCTTATAACAAGGTTGATAACTACCTTAAATGCCATCATAGAGCCTTCACCCAGTAGCTGATGAAGCAGAAGCAGAGATTCACAGCTAAGCACTGAGCAGAACTCCTGAAATTCAGTTGTAGAGAGGGAGGAGTGATGAGCAAAGGGGTCAAGACCATGCTGGAGAAACCCACAGAAACAGCTGACCTGAGCAAGTGGAAGCTCATGGACCCCAGACTGACAGCTGGGGAACTTGCGTAAGACCAAACCAGGCCCTCCGAATGTGGTTGTCTGTTGTGGGGCTTGGGCAGTAGGCGGGGCCACTGGCAATGGAACCACTATTTATCCCTTTGGGAGCCCATTCCCTGTGGAGGGATACTCTCTCAGTCTAGATACACTGGGGAAGGCCTCAGTCCTGCCCTAAATGATGTGACAGAACTCAATGATCCCACATAGAAGGCCTCACTCTCCCTGAGGAGTGGATGGGGTTGGGAAGGGGAGATGGTGGGGAGAATAGGAGGACAGGAGGGAGAGGGAGCTGGGATAGATATGTAAAATAAGGTTGTTTCTAATTTAAATAAAAACAAATAATTTTTAAAAAGGTCATGAGACTATAGCTCAGTGTTTTGTGAATGGTTGTATTTTTCCTGTTCATTAACCTGCCCATTTATCCCACAAAGCCCACCAGCAGAGACAATTCACCTGGTACAACTGTCTGCCTACCGGGAGATGAGCAACACATTTGAAGATGGAGCACACAGACCTGAAACAATTCTCTGTCTCTGGAAGACACTGTTCCAGGAAATACTCATCTTTAGTCTAATGAGGAATTTGCTGAGCATGCACTCTCCAGAGACAAAGAGCTCGAACAGAGTGCTGGAGATGCAACAACACAGCAACAAATTAAGAAGAAACGTGTTCACAGAAGTCAAACCTGGACACAGCACTAACAAGTCTCTTCTCTGGGAAGCCACACAAATGACCCTGAAATGAATACTGCAAACAGTAACTGAGTACATGATGACTTATGAACAGTGAAGGATCACAAAATATGTGAGGGGTTTCTTTTAGAACCTTTGATTTAAAGTAAAAAGAACAAAGATATTAAAACTAAGAGTCATGAACCCAAAAACTACAGAGTGAGCCAATGAAATAATGTAAACAGTCTTATTACTTGGACAATGTGCAAATCATGAGCTTTTAGTCAATTTCCAAAAATAAGAATAGAAGTTTAAGTGAATTAAATGCACTTTGGTTTTATATTGCTTTGATTCTGTCATTAGTTGAGTAAAATGTATTTGTCATCAAATATTAAGTTAGCTCCAAGATCCACATCCAAGCACCAGACTAAGCTAAGGGAGTCCAGTTGAAGAGAGGGAGAAGAGAATATATGAGCAAGGTGGGTCAAGATCATGACAGGAAACCCACAGAGACATTTGACCCAAACTTGTGGAAGCTCGTGGACTCTAGACTGACAGCTAGGGAGCCTGCATGGAACTGAACCAGGCCCTCTGCATGTGGGCAACAGTTTTGTAGCCTGGTCTGTTTATGAGACCCCTGGCAGTGGGCCCAGGATCTATCTCTAGTGCATGAGCTGGCTTTTTAAAACCCATTCCATATGACTGGGGTGGGGGTGGGGGGCTTGGTCCTGCCTCAACTGAATGTGCCAGGCTTTGTTGACTCCCCAGGGGAGTCTTTTCCCTTTATGAGGAATGGATGAGGTTGGGGGGGGAGAAGAGGAAGGGGAGTCTTTTATTTTTTAAATAAAATATAAAAAATCATTTATCTATAAATTTTACATTTAAATTTAGAACCCAATAAAAGACTACAATTAAGGGAAAACTATATATAAATTCTGTGCTATATTTATTTTACTATATCAGCTTCATCTTAAGATTCTCCAGTCCTGTACTCAAAAGGAAGTTTCAGTAAAAGACTGGCTGTATAACGGATATACCAATTTTAAGTGAAATCCCCATAAGCGAACCAAGTGTTCATCTCCAAGCATCTCCTAAAGTTGACCTCCAGATTAAGAATGAGGTTGTTCTCCAATTAACATTAAGTGGTCATCTCTATTAATTATTAAAATGTAATTCATTATACTTTGCCCTGTGTTTTTCAACATTTCCTTAACAGTTTGGCCTTCTCTGACCAAAGCATGCAAAAAACGTGTATCATTAAAGAAATACAACTCCTCTGTGATTTCACACAAGAATAAAAACCAAATTATAGAATTAGAAACTAACAAGAAAAATAAATGTATTAAATTTAGATCCAGTTAACTAATTTAAAAAATTAACAGTCAGATTGGGCATGGTGTTTTATACCTTTAATCCCAGCACTTGGGAGGCAGAGACAGTTGGTTGTATAAGTTTAAGGCCAGCCTGGTCTATAGAGAGTTCAAAGTCAATTAGAGATACATAGTGAGATCCTGTCTTTAAAAAAAAGTCAGTCTTAATTAATTAATTTGAGATAAAGAAAAATGATCTTTAAACAGAACTTAATATGGGATGAATGAATGAGAACCTTAGCTTAAAATATGAAATTATATTTTCTCAATTACCTAAGTATAATGCACTAAATTAGTAAAGATTTAAATTTTCACTTTTGTTATGATCACCAAGACCACAATCAGGTCCTCAGATATGTAAGGGTGACATCAAAACTGTTTATATTTGGATTTGACTAATGTAACATGTATTCTGAACTATATGCTGGTTTAAATGCTTGCAGTATTAACTCACTTGTTTCACTTGATTGGCATTCCATGAGTTGGGTACCATTACCATCTCTATCTTACAAGCAAGAACCAAAAGTACTCAAACAAGCATGTTTCCCAACAGGAAGCTAAGGTTGTAACTCCAGCACTCTGAACCTGGATTCCATGATCTTTAGCACTTTACAAATATCCCTCGATGATGCTTCACACTGAAAATCTACAGCACCATCATTACACTTATTAAGTTGGGGTCTTAGAGTGCAGCTGTTTGTCATGGTCCACAACAATGAATCCATGCCTCTTTTTCTGTAATGACTTCCTGACTTCCTATTGGAGATATAGGGACTCCTCACTTACTCTGCATGGAACACAAATCAGAAACTTGAT